AAATATACAAGAAGCTCTGACATTAGTCAGTGTTGGTTAAAAATGCCCTTCATTTCTCCTGCTGTTTTCTATTAAATGCACAATCTGCTTGAGGCTCTTTAGACAGTGAGTCAGTCAGTTCATCTTTAGAATTTCCCAAATAATGCAATCCAAATTATATAACTGTTTCACCAGCAAGAGGCCATTCATTCTCTCAAGTCTGTTTTACCTGCTTCATTCTTTCTTTAAACTAATTCATGGGGTGTGGATGTCACTGGCTAGGCAGCATTTATTGCCCATCCCTAATTGCCCAGAGGGCAGTTCAGAGTCAACCACATTGCTGTGGGTCTGGAGTCATATGTAGGCCAGACCAGGTAAGGATGGCAGTTTCCTTCCCTAAAGGGCATTAGTGAAGCAGATGGGTTTTTCCCAACAATTGACACTGGATTCATGGCCATCATTAGACTCTTCATTCTAGCTCTTTTATCACTCATCAGATTTTATGAAATTATTGCCGATCTACAGTTTTCTTCCAACTTCTTACAGTAAAATCTATCAATCATAACTTTAAAATTGTCCCAGCATTCATACCATATTGGAGGAGAGAAGTCTACTTTTTCACTAGCCTGTGTAAAAAGGAGAGATCATTCTGAATGATTCAGCTCTAATATTAAGATTGTCCTCTTAGGTTTTTGACTCCCCAGTTGAAGACACATGACCAATATAAAAATCAGAGCGGAAGGAAGAAAAAGAGCAAGAATAGCCCATTCAGCCCCTCGAGCTTGCTCCATCATTCAGTAAGATCACATTTTATCTGATCCAGACCTCAACACATTCCTACTGCTTCCTCATATTGAATCATTTAGTTGAAACATTTATTGTATTCAAGGTAAAACTACAGTGAAAAGTGTGTACCTTCACCATACATGTGTGGCACCATTCGCATTAACTTAGAATAAGAAACAAAAAATAACTTGAGAGAGTCAAACTTTCCTTTCCACTGCTGCAGTCCTGCACCAGGCTTTCTAGCCCCTGCCATGCCTCCGCCAGAGTCCCACTGCATAAACCGAGACTCTATTATAGTTCACTGATCTGATCTCTACAGCTCAGAGGAAGTGAATTTCAATGAATCAATGTCTTCAGAGAAAGGTTTCTTCACGACCATCTTAAATGATAGTACACCTTATTCCAAAACAATGTCCCTTAATTCTAGATTCTCTGGCTGGTGCTCAGTTACGAGAGGCACAGTTTGATTCATGATAGTCAGCATGGATTTGTGAGGGGTAGATCATGCCTCACAAACCTTATTGAATTCTTTGAACAGGTGACCAAACACGTGGATGAAGGTACAACAGTGGATGTGGTATACATGGATTTAAGTAAGGCATTTGATAAGGTTCCCCATGGTAGGCTCATGCAGAAGGTAAGGAGGCATGGGATAGGGGGAAATGTGGCAGACTGGATTCAGAATTGGCTGACCCTTAGAAGACAAAGGGTGGTAGTGGACGGAAAATATTCAACATGGTGCTCAGTTACGAGTGGTGTACCACAAGGATCTGTTCTGGGTCCTCTTCTATTTGTGATTTTTGTAAATGATTTGGATGTAGGAGTGGAAGGGTGGATTAGTAAGTTTGCAGACGATACGAAGGTGGGTCGCGTTGTGGACAGCGCGGAGGGCTGTTCTAGGTTACAAAGGGACATTGATAGGACGCAGAGCTGGGCTGAGAAGTGGCAGATGGAGTTTAACCATGAAAAGTGTGAGGTGATTCATTTTGGAAGGACAAACTTGAAAGCAGAATACAGGGTTAACGGAAAGATTATTGGCAGTGTGGAGGAGCACAGTGATCTTGGGGTTCAAGTCCACAGTTCCCTGAAAGCTGCCACCCAGGTGGATAGAGTTGTTAAGAAGGCGTGTGGTGTGTTAGCTTTCATTAATAGAGGGATTGAGTTCAAGAGCCGTGAAGTAATGCTCCAGCTATACAAAAGCCTGGTTCGGCCACATCTGGAGTATTGTGTCCAGTTCTGGTCACCTCATTACAGGAAAGATGTGGAAGCGTTGGAAAAGGTGCAGAGGAGATTTACCAGGATGTTGCCTGGAATGGAGGAAAGGTCTTATGATGAAAGGTCGAGAGAGCTAGGGTTTTTCTCTTTAGAACGAAGAAAGATGAAGTGACTTGATAGAGATGTACAAAATGATCAGAGGTATAGATAGAGTGGACAGCCAGAGACTTTTTCCTAGGGTGGAGGTAGCTATTACGAGGGGGCATAGTTTTAAAGTCAGTGGAGGTAAATACAAGGGAGATGTCAGAGGTAGGTTCTTTACTCAGAAAGTGGTCAGGTCGTGGAATGCATTGCCGGAGAGGGTAATGGAGTCGGCCTCATTGGGGCATTTAAGCGGCTATTAGATAGGCATATGGATAATAGTATAAGGGTGGAGGTTAGATAGACCTTAGGATTAGGGTAAAAGTTTGGCACAACATCGTGGACCAAAGGGCCTGTACTGTTCTATGTTCTCGTCCTGACAAGTAGAAACATTCTTTCAGCATCTCCCCTGTAAACACTTGCAAAACTTTGCACATAAAAGTTCCAATAAAAAAACACCCCTCATTCTTCTGAACCCCAGTAAGTATATGCCTCATCTGCTCAACCTTTTCTGATAAGATGATCCCTAAATCTAAGTGGGGCTTCTCTGAACTTCCTCTAACGTATGTACGTCTCTCCTTAAATAAGAAGGCCTTATCCAGTGCTATAATGGTGCCTGTTCTTGGAAGGACCCGGTCATTTATAACTAGTTGAGGGTGCTCTTTCTTTGCATAGTGTTCACCTAACACTGAATGAACACAAAAACCATGCTCAAACAGTACATTCGCAGGATTCCTAATGCACTGACAAACTGCTAAGTCAAATGTCACCTTGGAATTATCTTGAATGATGGGTCAATATGTTGTTATGGCCTAAAGAGACTGCAGGTGTTAGGAAAAGCAATACTGCACATACATAACACCCAGTTAGATTTACCTATAGCCCAAGTAACTGAGCATGGGATGTTTTCTGCAGAGTCTGGGCTTCCATCCATATCCATTCCAGGCCCTCTTCTTTGGATCACAGAGACAATGGGAACGCAGGGTGCAATTTCATGTTGGAACACTGATGTGGTCTGGTACAACACTAGCTTTACAACCCACTCCATTCTGTTCTCCACTGAAAATAATGCCTTATTCTATTTGGGATGTAAAACTTGTATTTCATCCAATTACATTAATCAAACTCATAAGTAGGAAATCAAACTTATTCCCTGGGCTTCACTACGGCAAGATGCCTTTAAATTTTCCATGAAAATACTCAACTCAGAAACTGCAGCCGGAGTAGGTGGTGGATATGATTCTCAACCAGAACAGCGTTAGAGGTGTACTTTACTGCAGCACTGTACGTTCTCCCCATCTCTTGCCATCATTGAGTCACTGTCCATTTCTCTGCTTGGCAGTGGAATGAGGTGCTGAGCTAACTCAACATAAATTATCTTTGATCTACAGAGCAATTAAGGAAACCCTGGAATATATTCACTTGCCTCTTCAATCTGTCCAGAAACTATTTAGTCTCATGGAAAATTAAAGTACCTTAAAGTCTACCGACTGCTTCCAGTCCAGATCCTTTAAGGAATTAGTCAACAGTATTTGCTGATAGGTGTTTTTGGGGGGGTGGGGCCAGGGTTGGAGTTCATCTTAACTAATTTTGCTATCAAGACCCATGGCACACGGTCATATTACAATTATATCTCAGGATGTTCGTCATAGATCTCAATCTCTTCCAGTTGCTTTTCTCAGAGTTCAAATTTTGCATTCTTCCTCTAACTCGAGTCTTTGTTGTATTCCACATTGACTCTGTGGTCCTAAACTCAGCAACTACCCATATTTGTTTATTGCCTTTATCATAGTTAAACACTTTTTTTGCAATGCAATAATGTTTCAATGGCACAAATTACTTTAAACTCAGTAGAAGGTGGATGGTAAAGTTCTGTTTATGAAAGGGTAGCAGCAGAAAAAAGCCAGCACTTTGAAACTCAAGAGTTACCCCTGTCTCCCCACCAATTACTAAGGTCTCTGACCACCTGGTTAAGTAGGTGTATAAAAACACTGTTAGGGTTCAGTTTCATAGCCTGGATTTATACCAAAAATCATGATCAACTGAGTTCTCACCCTCTTGCTCCACCAGAGTGTTCAACTCACCATTATGTTCCCTGCACATCCCAGGCTAATTCATTCAAATGAAGGCAAGCAGTGTGATCATTGCAGAAAACATGGCACATCCGTATCCAGTGAGAGAGAAATGGTCTTGTAAGCCAACAAATATATCCAAGTTCTTTTTGTTTTCAGCGGTGTATTCCTTAGGATTGTTTTGGGATGTTAGCATCACTGACTTATTACCCATTCTTTCTGACGGCGAACCTCTTTCTTGAATCACTGCAGCCCATAGAGTCAGTATGGAAACAGACCCTTCAGTCCAACTTGTCCATGCCAACCAGATATCCTATATAAATCTAGTCCCACTTGGCCCATATCCATCTAAACTCTTCCTATTCATGAACTCATCCAGATGTCCTTTAAATGCTGTAATTGTACCAGCCTCCACCACTTCCTCTGGCAGCTCATTCCACACACGCACCACCATCTGCGTGAAAAAGTTTTCCCTTAAAAATCTTTCCCCTCTGATCTTAAAACAATGCCCTCTAGTTTTGGACTCCTCTACCCTGGGAAAATTACCTTGGCTATTCACCTTATCCATGCCCCTCATGATTTTATAAACTTCTATAAGGTCACCCCTCAGCTTCCCATGTTCCAGGGAAAAAAGCCTGATGGCATGATAAGGAAAAGTATTTTTGCATAACCAATGGTGAGGATCTGCAATGTGGTGCCAGACAGTGTGACAGAGGCATGTCAGGAAGATGCTCCCACAGTGTTGGGTAGTTCAGTTGCGCCCTCCATTCAGTCATTGTCAAGTGATCTTGCCAAAGACTGCAAGTGTCAATTGTATTGTTATTTTATTAATCATACATATATGTTAATGTTTTACAATATCTAGTGCCACTTGGAAACGTGACAGATTACATTGGCAAATCCAGGACAGCATCAAGAAACAACATCATCTCCTCGTGAGGATGGTGAAAATTCCTAGTTGAAACACTTGTGCGGTTTAATCTTTAAAATCATATTTTTAAAAACAAGAAAATTACTTCCAATACTAGTGCCTTACAGGTAGACTCATGACAATAGTTTGCTACATTGCTTGAACAGCACATGGATGTGGCTCATCTCAAACACTCCATCATCACATGGGCAAGACTTGAACAATCAGAGCTATGAAATTCCTCAGTTTGTACTTAGACCTCTGGATTGCCCAATTTCACTAGCCCTTAGATTTCCACACTGCGTGCCCACCACTCCACTCCCAGTCTGTAGTCTGTAATTACAAATTCACCGATACCCTCTCATCATATAACTAAAAAAAAAAATTCCTTTTGTTACAATAGTTAGATTTCTTTCCTACTTTGACGGTGTGTGCTGACCGTTTGCACTTCTGCATCATCTTTGAAACAGAAGTCGAGTGAGAAGCACTGACAATGTCTGGGCTGTTCCTTCAATCCAACATTTATTATAGATATTATTGCCCAAAAACCGAATCAATTTAAAACGGTACTCCTTAAGAAGAGGTCATAAGCTCAGAGCAGCCCACAGAGAGACAGAACTGACTCAGCACTGAATGACAGAACACCGGACACTGATATACTGTTGACAGTAACTCTCAGGAAAGTGAATGTCACCATAGTACCAGAGCCACCATAGGCTGCTCCCTCATTAGAGACATGTGACTGGCGGTGAGATTAACTGGAGGGTCACGATGCCTCAGGCGAAGGAGAGAGGTTGACGTGGGTCCTTCACCATGACCTCAGCCAGCAACCCCGCGAGGGTATTGAAGATAGCATTAGAGAAGCCCTAACCAGCCAGGTGTGTCAGCTTCTGCAGTCTGACCCCGAGGACAGAGACTCCAAATGATTCCAAAGCATCACGAGCCCACTGAACGCAATAGAAATTAAACAACTTTAAATGATTTTAATGCATTAAAATGGGACAGAACCATCCCTCCATCATAAAGTGGTTTAGTTATTAAGCTGAGCCCCTGCAGCTTATTCAGTTCACAACATTTGTACAGAGAATTACAATAAAATCCCCCGCAGCAAACAGACATTTATGATTGTGCTGCTTTATCACACTCAACATGAAGAATCTAATGAAAATATACTTCTTTGTAGTAATTCATTCCATAAGATTTAACTTCTCTCAGTACATTGTTTTCTTGTGGTAGTCCACACCTTAACTGTTGATTTGGAAGGAAAAGGAATTAGAATAGAGTCTATTAGAAAATAATATTTCATTTCAGAATTACAAAGCAGTGAGCTCGAAGAGAATCTAAATGACAAGAGACATCAAGAATGAAAGAAAGAACAAGAGGGAGAAAGGGTAGGAAAGAGAGAGAAGACAGAGAGAGCGCAAATCTCTCAGTCTGAAAAGTAAACGAATGCTCTGGTATTAATTTTCTAGTGCAGCTTTTAGGGTTAAGATTTTACATTCAATGATACACTCCCTCCACTAGTTAAAACTGAGAACAAGTGTCCCAGGTCAAGACAAATTCATCACATACCTTAAAAAAGGATTAACTGTTTGCTATAGCTCAGTGCATGTTGAAAAACTGGATATTATATTTATTTTAAAAAATGCTTCCTTTTGCCTTCCTCTTGTATCCTGCCCAAGTCTGATGATTAGTTCAAACTAGTTTAAGTCTACCATGGCACATTCAGCAAGAACATAAATCGAGAGAGAGAGACAGAGAAATCCAGGCAGACAGACAGACCGAGACCAGTGAGATTAGAAACAGAACAGGGCAGAGGTGCGGATCGCTGAGTATGATCCATACAATTACCTAGAGGCAAAATTCAGCATCAATATCAGAAACTAGTTCAAAGTTACACTATTGCACCTACTACACAGTGAAGTGCTTAGGAAAAGTGACAAGCAAGTGACACAACATGAATTGGAACACAAACCATTTCTGAACTGTCAATACCACAGGAATATCCCGGAACTAAATTATTCAGGAGTAAAAATTAATGGGGATATGAAGCCAATGTTTTTGTAACTGATACAGAGTATTGAAGTTGGTTGGCTCGCCGAGCTGGTTTGTTGTTCTGCAGACGTTTCGTTACCATGCTTGGTAACATCCTCAGTGCAGCCTCTGATGAAGCGTTGGTGTGTTTTCCCGCCTGGTTTTTAAACTCTGGGGTCCATTGCGATGGATTGCCTCACTTCCAGGTTTCCTCTGTAGTGGAATATATATGGGGTCGAGTTCAATGTGTTTGTTAATAGCCTGCTTCGTGGAGTGCCATGCTTCCAGGAATTCTCGTGCTTGTCTCTGCCTAGCCTGTCCCAGGATCTTGGTGTTGTCCCAGTCGAAATCGTGGTTCTCCTCGTCCATGTGGATTGAGATGAGTGAGTATTGGTCGTGTCTTTTTGTAGCCAGTTGGTGTTCATGTACACTTGTTGTTAGTTTCCTTCCTGTTTGTCCAATGTCGTGTTTCTTGCAGTCTCTGCAGGGGATCTTGGAGATGACATTGGTCCTGTCCATGGCGGGGAGTGGGTCTTTAGTTCTGGTGAGCACTCGTCGTCGGGTTGATGTGGGCTTGTGTGCCACTCTGATGCCCAGCGGTCGTAGAAGTCTTGTGGTGAGTTCTGACAGGTTCCTGATGTAGGGTAGTGTGATGTGTGTGTCGGGGCGTGTAGAATCTTTCTGATGCTGTTCGTGTAGGCATCTTCTGACCCAGTTCTTTGGATATCCATTATCCTTGAACACTTGGAAGAGGTATTCCTCCTCCTCTTGGCGTAGTTCCGTGTTGCTGCAGTGTGTTGTTGCCCTTTTAAATAGTGTTCGCACGCAGCTTCGTTTGTGCGTGCTGGGATGGTTACTATTGAAGTTCAGTACCTGGCCTGTGTGTGGGGCTTTTCGGTGTATTGAGGATGTTACCAAGTATGGTAACGAAACGTCTGCGGAACAACAAACCAGCTCGGCAAGCCAACCAATCTCAACACCCACAACCCGAGCTACAGATCTACTCCAAAACCTTAGTGATACAGAGTATTACAAAATATTATAATATTTTGTGACTATATCTTTAAATTTGTGGTTCATAAACTGGGGCCATTGGCCCTGTTCTGAAGTCACCTAACAGTAAGTCTGAGACAGTTGATTGTTTGAGATCAAAGGAACGTCTCGACTGATTAACTCAGAAGAAGGTGCAAGATATTCACGCTTGGAGGCAATGGCAGGAGCCTGAGTCTCCCAAAGTTCTAGAAAGGTACTGACGGAACAGCTGTACTGCAACTGCCCATTTATTTCTAAGATGAAAGGGAGTCGGGCTCTCGACAATAGCCAACTAGTATTTCCACCTGCATACCAGGCCGAAACATTTCACACTGTCATTAGGAAATAGGCAAAGGAAGCCAAATTTTGAACTTAGCTTACAGACCACCCTACAAGTCAATGGACTTCAGACAACAGTTCTGTACAATCAGTAGAGATTAAAGGCCATTTGACTTTACAAGCCATCACAGTAGATGCAAATTGCAGACTGTCTCTAGCCAAAGGAACACATCCTGTGACATTCTAGGAGATTTGTTCTGGTGTGGCCAAGAGAAAAAAAAAATCATTAGAATCGGCTTTACTGTTGGTGACCTTCTGAAACTCTGAAAATTAAGGACAGACGGTCACTTGAAGTTACTCCTCAGTGAAACAGAAATATGGGAACCATTGGAATCTGGAAACAACTGTGCACCAATTGCTAAAAAGACCAACCGTGGATAGTGTGATGAGTGTAAAAGAGGAATGTAACTTTCTGATGTTTAAAATACAAGTTGCCTGCAGAAATAAAACAGTGTTTTAGTCAACAGTGCTTTTTCTAGTTATTTTGTTACAGTCAAGGTTTTAAAACAGAACCTTAAAGTGCCAATCTCAGTTCTAATTGCTTTTCAAAAGCGTTAATCTCTGCAGAGACTGTAATGCTATATTGACAATAAAAAGTGAAATCAGTGATTTACAGACACTAAAAGGAACTGGCATCAGTTGTCCCAATTTTTAAAGGTAACCTCACTTATTCAACATGGTCACTGGCCCTTTAATCTTGACAAACCAGCTAAGATTGCAACCAGCATCTCAATCAGTCATAAGAATATTCAGACAGTGTGTGAAAGCAGGTAAGGTGGCACCTGTGCAATACAACCTGTCGCTGACTTCAGGCTTAAAAAATGAACAACTAGTGGCTCAGGTATATGCATCTTCTGGATCCAAGTTGGATTGGGTGAGAGTTCTGTTGGCTGTGTCTTGTACTCTAAATAGCGTGGTGTATTGAAGGTAGTTTGTTTGCAAATATTTCTGGTTTCGGAGTAACTCTTGTATTTTTTCCCAATGCAGGTTATTTTGGACTATGAATATGCTGTGTTTTTGAAGTGAATCTCTTAAAACTTCAGCCACTTTACCAATTCAGTTTGTGCAGACAGCCAAATCAGACATGCCCCAGTAACTACAGCAAAAAAAAAAAAAAAAATTGCAGGTTGTTGTCCCACTTTCCCACCAAGACAGGATAGCAGTGTACTGAAAACCTCAGTTGCAGGAGACTTGGATTTTACCCTGTTTAAAACAAAGGGTCGAACAAAGCCCAAAGCACGACTAACTAGTACGGACTCTCTCAGTCAATTAGCATTATTGCAAAATCCTTCATATCTGTAGAGGAATGGTCATCTAATCTGGCTAAAACAACACAAACCCAAAGCCTGAATCCCTGATTATGCCCCTCCTCTAAAAAGCCTAATGCTCAACGGCAGACCAATTTCTGATCTCCTTCCCTCCCAACACTAGTTTAGGAGCTTTGCCTTGAACATTTCTGCTTTGTCATTGGTGCTGGTCTTTATCCCTTAGACTCACTCTCAGCCTGCAAATACTGCAGCAGCTTTTGTCAAGAGCAAAAACTGAAGGTGATTCCTCTCAAACGCTGCTGCATCATGGGCCATGCACTTTGTAAAGCTCCACAGAGATGCTGCCATGCTCATGCAGGGAGGGGTGGATGCAAAATATGTGGTTTATACATTTCCGAATCCAGTTCCAAAGTCCTATGACACAACCATACTAGTACATACTAAGAGGGCAGGGACAGGAAAATCCCCACAATAGTGGGAAAAGGACTCGCTCGGAAACTGTTAAAAACAGCTACTTCCACCATTCGAGATACAAGATTGAGAGGTCAGTGATACAAAGAATCAAAATTAAAGGTTTAGAACTTGATTTGGAGCCAGGACGCCCCAGGTTTAAGTCCTACCTGCCTCAGAGATGTGTAATACCATCTCTGAACAGAATGATTAGAAAATATTGAGAATTTGATTGGTAGCTGGGTTCAATTTCTAGGACAGACAACAATCAGTTACAATTTCACAACTTGGACTGCAGAGGTTTCAGATATTTGTAGAATGACTCGTGAACCTAGGAAGAAGACGAAACACATCATCAGTCCTTAAAAACCAGACTTCAAACTCTCTTTTGTTCACACAATCACTGGTGAATTCTCACTAATAACATTCAACACACTCCTAGCAAATCAAGACCCTGGGGACCCACCATAACTCCAAACAGATAGATAAGACCTCAGGGCTGATGGTGCTCCTGCCTCTGACCCAGAGGTTTGGATTCCAGTCCCAGCTGCCACAAAAGTGTTGTGGCATTTCCAAACAGGCTGATTTAAAATGAACTTTAAACCCACAGTCAGGAGTTATCCATACTGTCAAATAGCATACCTATATCATGGTCTCACAAATATTGAGCTTTCTATAATACACATGTAAGGAAACAGAATTCCTGAACTCCACTGCATTGGTCTTTGGTGCATGGGATGGAATGGACCTGCGTTTCAGTCAGGGAAAGGATGACTGGATGCCTAGTAAAAGTCCCTTTATGGAGGTTTATTGAGAGATTGTTCCCACAGGCCACAGACAATAAGGGGACATTTGAGAGGCTTGCTTAAAAAAAATGAATTAAAGGCAGAGGCACGAAGAAACATTCTCACACCTAGGCCAGTCAGGACATGGAAATCTCAGCCGCAAATTGTTGTTGAAGTCAAGTCCAAAAGAGAGTGGAATATTAAAGGGGAAGAATGGGATTAGCCTACATGGCAGATGAAGAAAGGCACTAATGTCCTGATGGGCTGAAACATTTATCATCCTGTCCCTGCAAAGGTTCTGGGAGTCCCAACTGACCGATTAAAAATCAATCTCCCACTACAGCCACAAGTTAACAGGTCTGAGTGGGACAGCCAACTAGAGTGGACTGGGTCTTAAAATAGTGATGAGTTTGGCTGCCTCAATCTGGAGCTAAATTTAGACAAAGCCCCAATATGACAACCCACTGTTCTAACAACTATCAACCCCACCAATGGAGAAATTCCAATATGCCTGACTGATCATCAACCTGCTAGGCTTACTTACCTCAGTTTTATTTAGAGGAGATCTCTTTGCCCACTCAAACATGTGCTCATAAACATTCCCATCGTAACGCCCAAGCACTGATGCAAGAACTGCATCAGGGTAGTCAAAGGCATCGACAAGAGCAACGGCATTGGGTCGGATCACAGCAAGTAGCTCCTTCACACGCTGGTGAACCTGGGAAATCTGCAGGTCATTCAGGATCCCAGCCTGTACAGGACAACAGCATGTTATAAATTGCACTCTAGCACAGCCCTGGAGATACAACACTGGCCAACTCTGCCTGTGGTCCAGCAAAAGCCTATGTTTCAGCTAGTTGCTCCCAGACCAAGCTGACATACCTTCCTCTGTGTAATAACATTCCAGTCTGGAATTTCATGTTGTATGATGGTGAGGCAGCTTCTAAGCTGTCCCTCCAACCATATATGGTCAACAGTCAGTAACAAACCTTGAGCAACTTTACCTTTAAAAGGAACTCAAAATTATGATAAATTTAATTGGACTCAAAAACACGGCAGTGTCACAGAGGTGAACTGATCATAGAATTAGAGAGTGTTCCCAAATGCTGGGAAAACAACCTAATAAGAATGGTGTTACAGCAGAAGAAGTGCCAGTTAGATAACAGATAATCGAACGCAAGCACAAAGGTGCAAGCTGCCTCCTATTTTAAAGTCATGTATATACGTTGATAGAAAATTGAATCAAAGTTGAATAACAAAATTACAGTAATTGGGAAGCTTAGAGGTCAAGATGAGGATACTGCGGTTTCTTTGGAATCCAGGCTGCAGGATGAAATGTTGGAACTATATATATGGGAATTTAGAAGTTCGAGAGTTCACCCTATTGAAATAAGTAACATTTGAGAGGGCTCAACAGTGTAGAGAATTACAGAAAATTTTCCCTCGTTGGGGAGTCTGGAACTGGGGTGGAGGCACAGGTTTGGAATAAGACATGCTCACTCAAGGAAAAGACAGACTTTTGATCAAAGGAATCAAAAACAATGGGGATTAGGCAGGGACACAGACTGGAGGTGAAGATCATATCGGCCGTAATCTTATCAAAGTGAGCGAGCAGTCTCAAGGGGACTAAATGGCATTCCCCTGAGCCTGTTTCTTACGTTAAAACAGATATGGTACTCGCACTACTAGTGGACAAAAGATGTAATAACAGCATGCCAACACTACGTAGGCATCTTCCATTATAAATATTGACAACTGAATCTATAATAGAAAAGTCAATATTGGAGATGTTACAGATCCATATTTTAATGGATCATATATATAGGATGGTAATGGTAATTGGAGCAAATGCTAAGATTTTCAATGAACATCAGAGCCCGGATAGCTCAGTCGGTAGAGCATCAGACTTTTAATCTGAGGGTCCAGGGTTCAAGTCCCTGTTTGGGTGCTGCTTTGGGGCGGCACGGTGGCTCAGTGGTTAGCACTGCTGCCTCGCAGTGCCAGGGACCCGGGTTCAATTCCACCCTCGGGCGACTGTCTGTGTGGGTTTCCTCCGGGTGCTCCAGTTTCCTCCCACAGTCAAAAGATGTGCAGGCTAGGTGGATTGGCCAGGCTAAATTGCCCGTAGTGTTCAGGGATGTGTAGATTAGTGGGTTATAGCGGGGTGGGTCTGGGTGGGATGCTTTGATGTTTGGTGTGGACTGGTTGGGCCAAAGGGCCTGTTTCTACACTGTAGGGATTCAATGATTCTCTGAAAATTGGATCTCAATCTCTTGCTCCATTCTCATTGCATCCTCCCTCAGTCTGTTTTTGGACTTTGCAAAAGGCATCGTATTATGACATATTATGAACAAGATGTGATTCCAGCCCCTTTTAAGTTCCCACAGAGACTGACATACTGCACAATGACTCTAGTGGTGTTGGTAAAGTCTTTACATCTATACAACCAAGGCTACGATTTAGCATCTACTTACATGCAGGAAATCTCCGGAGTTCTTACTAATTCCATACAGCGCGTACATCAGGCACAGAGTGCTAAGGACATCGTAGATCGCAGCGTCCGTGATCTCAGACAACTTGGCTGCAAACAGCTTCACCACCACGTAGTGGCAATGAGCCTAAGGGAGGGGAGAACAGGAGCAATTAAACAAACACACGCTGTGGAACAGCCTACACAAAAAGAAATAAGACACAGAACACGATTAGGCAAGAGTAAAAGGATGGGGTTTCTGAACTGAAAGGGCAGTACAACCCTCCTTTTGCACAATGTGTAAGGGGTGCCACCACCTTGCCCGACACAAGTATTTAAACATATACTTCCAGTTCATCCCCAATCAAATAACGCCAATGAAAGCAAGCGCAAAGCATCCAGCGTTGTGCAGCTTGAGCTTAGCGTTAGGCCTCAATACATGCTTACAATCATTATCCAGTCCGAAGTCTAACAGTACACTCAGCAGTGACGAGCCTGACATCACCTCTTGGCTTCGTAAAGCGATTGCCATTTTAAAAAAAACGCACGGACAGTCTATAAAGTTCTGCTGTGGTTCAGTGTGCCAGGTACAGGCATCCTGATTCACATCAACCCAGAAGGAAGGGAGTCACAGTCCAGCACAAACGAGGGAAAGCGGAAATTTACCTTCGAAAGAAAGAGGGATGGACTGGGTATGGGGAGACAGGTAAGGGAGGAAAGGTAAAATCAACTTTTCCTCAGAAGAGGAGGCAACCTTCTAAACAAGAGCGACTCACTCCTGATGCTCTGACCAGGTCAATAGATGTGCTGTTCCAGGCTTCCTCTTTATTCTTCCTGTGTCCCAGCTCCATGCGATAATTCCGTGCAGCTGCCTCAACCAGGCTGGGAAGCACAGGAGGAGGGATGAGTAAGATGAATGATTACACAAGGCATGGACAGGCAGACTGTATAACAGATACTTTGCAAGTCTAGAGTCTCAAGCCTGACCTCTGGATGCTGGAGGTGGTTAGGGAGGAGTGTTAGTTTCACACACTCATCTCTGCTTTGTTGGGCTAAGACAAACAGAACACAGATTTTGCAAAAAAAAACTTCAAACTATACATTTCTCACAGGACAAAGCTGACTTTCAGGATTGGTCAGATGTAACGTGGATTAAGTGAAGGGCCAGGGCTGATGGTGCTGGCCACATGTAAGCCGGGAAGGATTGACCGGCATGTTTTTACAATCATTCTCTTGCTTGAAGAGAAAAGGGAGCAATGGTAAAACAAAAATGGTCTTGCGATCAACCAAGACACTGGATAATGTATTTGCTGCTCACAATGGCATCTCCCTTACACTGGCAAGACCAAGAGCTTTGTGGAATACTTCCTCTCTGTCCGGATGAAGGTTTATAGGAATGACCCCAACCGAGGGATATGGGCCAAATGCTGGCAAATGGGGTATATTTAGGATATCTGGTCGGCTTGGACAAGTTGGACTGAAGGGCCTGTTTCCGTGCTGTGTATCTCTATGACTCTATGACTCTTCCAGTTGCTTGTGATTTCGATAAACCACCTTGCTCCCATTCTAAAATTTCCATCCTGGGCCTGTTACAGTATTCCTACTAAACACAATGTAAGCTGGAGGAACACCACCTCATTTCCCATTTAGACAGAGTTCAGGACTTAATATTGAGTCTCACTTCACAGTATCCCCACAAATGCTACCCGAACTACTCGGTTTCTCCAGAAGTTGAAGAACTTTGGGTGGCCTCTGTTGGAGAAGGAAACTTTAGGAGAGATCTAATAAAAGTGTTAAAAAGCACAAGAGTGTGGATAGTGAGAAACCAGTTGCGTTGTTGAAGAATCAAGTACAAGAGGGTACAAATTGGCAAAAGTCAATGGTGATGGGAGAAAAAGGTTCTAACTGGTTAAGGTCTGGAATCCACTGAGAGCGTGGTGGAGGCAGGGTTAGTTTGAGTTTTCAAAGAGAGAGTTGGATAGTTTTATGAGTTGGCAGAATGTGCATGGCTACAGGGAGAAGCCAGGGAAGTGGCATGAGGTGTTAGCAGAACCAGGACAGAATGATGGGCCAAAAGGTGTGCTGTAACCATTCTGTTACTGAGGACTGAGTGACTGATGGAGAAATTGGTGAAATGAGCTAATCAGAGGGAGCTGGTATAGATCTGCAAATGTTAAGGCATGTTGGATAAACTTGTCTGAATGCTTTTAAGAGGTTACCAAGTGGTGGATAAACAAGACCTATGGATGTTATTTTTAGAAGCTGCTTCCAGATGGCAATCGGAAGGCGAACTAGATAGAGTTTTACAACAATTGACAGTGGCTACATGACTGGCAGTAAGGTAACCTCTCTTTTAATTCCAGATTTTTATTGAATTCAGATTTCACCACCTGCTGCGGTGGGATTTGAATGCTTGCCCAAGAACATTAGCGAGCACTTCTGTATTACTAGCCCAGTGACAATACCAGAATGCTACTATCTGCGCTGAGTGATTTTCCAACGAACTGACTCACTGCAACAAATTTTGGAGGGAGTTGTGCAGAAGTCAGATCCTCTTTTTATGACCTATAGGTGTGAAGCTGGAAAAGCACAGCCAGTCAGACAGCAAATTCTTCATCATGGCTGGGAATGAGGAGGGGAACCCAGAAATAAATAGAAGCCGGGGCGGTGGGGGGCGGGGGGGTGAGATGGTGATAGGTGGATGCAGGTAGGGGGTTATTGTGATTGGTCCATGGGAAGGGTGCAGCAGATAGGTGAGTAGGAAGATGGACAGGTTAGGTCAGGTCAGGTCAGGAGGGGGAGGGCTGGACATGGGTTAAGGCTGGGGTGGAGGGATTTTGAAGCTGGTGAAGTCTATGTTAAGGCCCCTGGGCTATATTTTTCCAAGGCAAAATATCAGGTGTTGTTCTTCCAGTTTACGTTTGGCCTCACTCTGACAGTGGAGGTAGCCACAGATGGACATGTTGGGAGGGGGAATTCCATCCATTTTAATTCCCTCTCTTTGAACCTTCTGGAGTTTCAAACTCTAACTCAGAGGGTCGCAGATGTCAGGCAATTACCCAGTGGCAATGTATATTTCCCAGACAGGTTCCACATAATACGTCAGGGCTTCCGAGGGGCAGGAGAGGAGGGTGATCTCAGACTATCCAAAAAAATGAGAGCCAACAATTGGACAAGAATACAAATCTATGGAATTGACAACAATCCTTTGATGTGGGAATGGAATTGGTTAAAACAGAAGCGACAGAAAGCAGGAAGTTAAAAGACGGGACTAGTGGTATCCTGCAGGGATTGGCACTGGGGACTCAGTTTTCTGCCATATTGATCAACAATTCAGATGAACCAAAAGAATAAAAATAACATCCCAAAGGGCTCGAAAGTGATAATGCTCTGATCCTGGACCATCACTCCCCTACAAAAAGGTACGACAAACACAGACAATCTGAATTGGAAAACCTGGCCAGGTTACCAAAGTTCTCCTCCATGGTACTCACTTAGCTGCTCGCAATTGGTATGCTTCCACTAGCCTGCTGATGTCATTAATGTCCATCACCATTGGCCGACTGGCCACCTGCTGGGGCTGGATGTGGCCGCACAGGTCATTCAGATACGCGACGGTGCCCAATAGCTTCTGACCAGACTTAGCCTGAGTATAACTCTTGAATAAGTACCTGCAACGCACCAGGAAACAGATAATCCATCACTAGCAACCCAGATGAAGAAAGCACTAAGCGTCAAAATAGTGCAAAGGGAGAGAAAAAGAAATTAGCAGAGCACTGGATCATACCATACAGGAGGTGGTCATTCGGCCTTCAATGCCGGTGTCAGCTCTTTGAAAGAGCTAACTAATAGCTCCATTCCTCAGCCCAGTGAGGTTCCTGCACAGTATCACCCTGGTGCCAAGCACAAGCTGATTCCTTACTGCCATGTGTAGGAAAAGCACTCCTTTATGAAGCAATATGAGTGCTGTAATCGTTAGGATAGTGGGCAACTGACTGCCTACACATCACATACTCAATCACTGCAGCAGCCAGCTAAGATCACAGGGCAATGAGTGAATCCTGCATCAGAAGACTGAAGACTCACAAGTGAAGCACAAAGCAAAACAAACTTCATATTAGTACTCAGGTTGCAGCGTGCAGAGTGGCAGTGAGGGGGAAACAGGATATGCAGTGATACTGGACACAATCCATATGTTCACAACTGCAGACTGGCAAGTTGAGATGACTTGGGTTAGTAGAACAACAGGTTAAAAAAATCTATGAGCAGTTCTACAAGAATTATAACGTTGTGACAAGGTGAAACTAAAGCTTCAAGTTTAAGATCTGCCACTGGCTATTTCTTCTAAATGATTAAGAACCTGACTGTGGCAATATGTAACAACTTCTCTCTACAGATGCTGCTGGACATGCAAAACTCCTCCAGCACTTCCGTTTTTATCACATTGCTAACATCCTCAGTATCTTGCTTTTGATACATAGCAATCCCCTGGCCCAAGCTGCTCAAACCTGTACTGGGCTTCCATTGATCTGAAGATTTCTCAACTTCCTGAGACCAAGAGATTGTATTTTGACTTGGGATTTATCTAACAGCGAGACAACAACGCAGAACATCCCACTGTAGGGCATGACAAGACAAACCTGGGAATTACAAATAAGCAGGGAGGACTCAATTGCCTGAGTTATGGAGAACAATCAACCATCAGGCACAGGTATAGACAGTGCTTGAGGTACAGTGACAAATGAGACAATCTCATTACTCTCAACAACTCTGAGATGTGAAGGTGGGATGAGGGTATAATTGCCTAGGAGATGGCACCAGTGGAGTGGAACAATTGCAAAATTGCACAATTTTAAAAACCACAGGATTGAGTGGGAGACTTGCATTTATGTAATGCCATTCTCAACCCTGGCAATACATGAAGCACACAGTCTGATACACTTCAGTCAGAGCAGCTGATTCCTTACCTTGCTGTCTGCAGCATCATGACAGTGTTCTCTCCTTCGTATGTGCAGCTGGGTGAGAACGTGACGTAAATATCTGGGAGACCACTGGACTGTGAGTACCCATGACCACCACAAGCCATTCGACATTCCTCAATGCCGGCACTGGCTACCCAGCTGGTGAAGGCTTTCAAGCCCGCAGACAGGGCATGGAGCTGGAATCAGACAATAACGATGAGCACAGCAATTGGAAAATTGCCAGAGTGCGGAAGGCAATCAAATACAAATTTGGGAGCCATAGAAATTACAATGTCCTTAAAAGCTCCGAGTTATCTGAGCATTGCATTCAGTGCTGAGAAGTTAACTTTAGGAAGTGATCCAGGATACTTGATGCAGGAAACAAACAGGCCACATGAAGTCAATGCTCCCTTTAATTTGGGTGTGTGCATTACTGTGTTGTGATTTCAAAAGGAAGCAGAAAGTCAGCTGATTGCAACAGAAATGAAAGGCAACAGTCGCTGTAATCTAAGTTAACAGTGGAACAGCACAAGGGACAGAAAGGTGTCCTCCATTTCCTAAATATCAATTAGCGAAGACATTGCACACCCAATATCAACATATCCCTGGTACTGAGATAACAAGGTGTACAGCTGGATGAACAGAGCAGGCCAAACAGCATCAGAGGAGCAGGAAGGCTGACGTTTCGGGCCTAGACCCTTCTTCAGAAAAATGAAA